ATATATATATATATTCTGGAAACATTTTATCAAGCTTCTTTAAACTAATAGGCCTAATGGTTTGGCTTAACATGGACTGAAAATTAAATTATTGGTCTAAGTAGCTAAAGCCAAAACAAAAACTACAGGGCAATGAGATGCAAAGCCAGACTGGTCTCCCCAGGTTTGCCATTTGGCTTTGATGCCAAGCTCTGCCTCACCCCACCATCATGGCCTTTAACACAGATGGGGATTTGATTACAGTACAAATCTGAAACTGACCTGAGACAGAACACAGGGCTGCAGTGCCGAACTGAACAAACCCAGCCTGCTGAATCCCAATTTGGGTTAAAGGACATACTCTATTGCAATTGAGCCTTTGGGATTTTAATAAGGACACATGGCTTAAAAATGTAAACTGGGGGGAGCTCAGCAGTTAGGAGTGCATACTACTCTTAGAGAAGACAAGGTTTGGTTCCCAACACCTATATCTGGTGGCTCACTACCAACTGTAACTCCAGCTCCAAGGGATCCAATGATGCTCTCTTTTGGCCTCCATGGGCCCAGTCACATAACCAAAGACAGATACATACAACACATAATTAAAAATAAAAATAAAATCTTAAGAGGGGAGAGGTCAGTTTTCTTCAAGCTGTGGCCCCTGGTAATCAACCATGCTCCAGTGGACAGCCCCACACCCATGAGTATATGGACAGCACAAAATGCAAAAGGGGGATAGGGAGACAGGAGTGGATCTGGGAGAAGTTAGGGGAGTAGTGTGGGGTGAATATGATCAAAATACATTGCATGACACTCTCAAATAATTGATAAATGTGTAAATAGGGCCAGCAAGTTGGCTCAGCAGATAAAGGCTCTAGCTACACAAGCCTGATAACCTGAGCTAGATCTCAAAAATCACATAAAGCAGCCAGGCATGATGACACACACCTTTAATCCCAGCAGAGGAGGCAGAGGCAGGCAGATCTTTGTGAGTTCAAGACCAACCTGGTCTTCATAGTGAGTCCCAGGCCAGCTGGGGCTAAGAGACCCTGTCTCAAAACACAAAGGTAAAAGAGAACCAACTCCACAAAGTTGTCCTCTGACCTCCACATGTGTGCTCTGGCACATCCTCACCTTTATACTGTTGTGCCCAGTTCGCGAGACCCCAAAGACCACCAAGGAGCCAACCGATGCAAACACACAAGGGTTTTTATTGTTGCAGGCTTAAGCTTGGGCCCACTCTGTCACCGACCCAGCAGATCTCAGATGTGAGACCCCTTGCTTTGGGAGACAGTTTATTTCAGCAAGTTCAGCAAGTAGGGGAGTAGGGGGTCTCCAGCCTGGCAAGCATCTAATTGGTTGCAGCCCAGTGCCAAACCATAAACTGCTGCCTTCAGGAAATCTGAAGAGATATCTGGACTTTTAGTACTTTCCTGTCCCTGGTTAACTGACCGTTGGCAGGGGAGTTGTTCTCTATCCGTTCCAGGTATACTTTTTGTGTGTGTGTGGTTTTTCTTGGAACAGGGCTCAGGGCTGGGTCAGTCCCATGGAGGTTTTATCCAAGATGGAGTCACTCAGGTCTCTCAATACATGCATAGACACATAATAAAATTTTAAATGTAAACAGTTCACTACAGTAATGTGTCAGTTAATGACGGGGGCACATTCTGAGAAATGCATTGTTAGGCCATTTCATTGCTGGGTGAACACCAGATGCACATCACAAGTTAAGATGACTACTGAACCACCAAGCAATAGGTATTTTTTAGCTCCATTATAATCTTATTGTCCATCATTCACCAACCATCATTGTCGGCATGATTACAATCTGATGTTTGCCAGAAATACTAAACTTTTTTTAATCAAATGAAATAATCCTAATTGGAATAAATTAAATAGCCACTAAGATTATACCTACTACCACTTTATACTTTTTAGGCTGTAGGCAATCTGGATAGCAAATTCTTTTTTTTTCTAATTTTTTTTTTTTTTGATGAGCCAACTCTCCAGCCCCTAGATAGCAAATTCTTAATCAGTAAAATTGGCATAAAAAATTTAAATGTAAGCTGATTTTATTGCACTATTTCAAAAAGCTGCACTGAAAGTTTAAAAGGGGTATAAGCCCATATCAAAGCTGGTAGTCCAACTCCTAAAAAAAAATTTATCTTCCAGTAAAGAATTAAAGACTCCAGTGTGGTATGTGATGCTTGAGGTAAGAGGCATCCTCTCCCTCGATCATCTGTTCATTTAGAACTGATGATTTTGTCAGATAATATAAGATTACTAAAAGGATTTAAGGAATTAGGATTAGCTGGAGATAAATCTGTAGGCAGTAAGGTACTACCTGGAGCAGAAGATGCCCTCCTGGGGTAAGGCCTCCTTGCATCTCATCCTGAGCACAAGTCCAAGTTATTTACAGATTCTCCCACTGGTGGAATCTGGATTGATAAAATAAAGGTGGAGTTACAAGTGCAATGTTTTAATCAAGCTTGTCTTCATAAAGACTTCTGATCTTAAGACACTCCTGGTCCGTGAATAAAGTGGGTCCAGTATTATATATACCATGTTTCATTTTAGAACTCATTTTCCCCTTCCAGTATCTATGTAAACCTCTGCCCCAATTCCCACAGGCCTTGCTTAGTTCTGAAGAAGAATCAGAGCCACTTTCCTGTCAAGAAAGAGTAAGATTTCTGGAGCTGGTTTCTTTGATCTTACATCTGGTAGAGGAAGAGGCAGCCTACAGGACGAGTGATAGCAAGGTGTAGTTAGTCTCAACCCCTTTTCAGTTGTTTCTCTCACAAAAGCACCAAGGCCAGAAAAATGGAACACATGGGCCCCTGAAAGTTATCAGAGCAATGGGTGGCTACCTTAGACAAGGTCCAGACCTTTCTCATTATTCCCATAGCCCACTGTTAGTAATAAATGTGTTCTCTGCAATCTCTTCCTAAAAGCAATCATTGCTGATGCTAAGGATTCAGACACAGTGTGAATCTAGTATCTTCCTAATGTATTCAGAATTTCAATGATCACTAAGGGATTCTTACACATTTCTGATTGAAAACATACTGTGCTCAAGCCTTATTTCAGGTGAGTCTCTGAACGTGGAAACAATTCATTCAGACACTGAACTGGGTAATGCTACATTTAATTACTTGGCTTAGCATCAGAGATGAGAGAACATTGGGGTGGTTTTACTCCTACTATCACCTGGCTATTAAGTGCCTAGCATAGCACACTGCTAAGCACACAGTAGGTGCCTGATATTTTTCTTCAAAAAACATGAAGGTGTGCGTGCATGCATGTGTGTGTGTGCCTACTAATGATTATATTTAGCTCCAAAAATGAAACATGAATATGGGGATGTGTGTGTGTGTGTGTATATATATATATGTATATCCATGCATGTGTAATACACACATATAGTTCATCCTAATTCATATAGGATATTCAAATACTAGCTGTATAATTATACTCCAACTATAACAAGAAAAAGTATAATACGATCATAAAATACCTAGTCAATTTCTATTTTAAAAATGATTTTTCACTTATACTACAGTTGAAGTATACATATATTTATGTTTAAAAAATAAATGACTTAGCCAGGGATGGTGGCACATGCCTTTAGTCCTAGCACTTGGGGGGCAGAGGCAGGCCGATCTCTGTGAGGCCAGCCTGGAGCCTGGTCTACATAGCGAATGCCAGGCCAGCTAGGGCTACAGAGAGACCCTGTCTCAAAAAAAAAAAAAGAAATGATTTGTGACACACCTTAGTTACCTGGTGCACTAAAGGGGACAGGCCCTTTAGTTATGCATACAAATATTCATAATATTCTTGAACTTTGTTTTTATCTAAGTTATATAACATATATATGCTGAACCACATACCTTTCTCATCATTAAACAATCAAGCCTTAACAATGTTACCTAATGCCAGGCATTGTGGTACACACCTTTGATTTCAGTACTCAGGTGGATTTCTGTGAGATTGAGGCCAGCCTGGTCTACATATTGAGTTGAGGCCAGCGGGGTTACAGGGAGAACCTGTCTCAAAAAACAAATAGGGTTGGAGAGATAGCTCAGCACTGCCTGTTCTTGAAGAGGTTCAGTTTCCAGCACCCACAGGGCGGCTAACGGCTGTCTGTAACTCTAGTTTCAGGGGACCTGATGCCCTCTTCTCTCTCTGCAGGTATTGCAAAACACAGGAGCACATACATGCAGACAATATATTCATACACATAAAATAAAAGTAATAGAATATTTTTTTAAGAAAACAAAAACCAAACAACAAAATAGCAACAAAAAAAATGTAACCTAAGAAATATTCTTGGAATTTCCATGAACATGCAAAAGGGACTGGAGAGAGAGCTCAGCAGTTAAGATCACTGACTGCTCTTGCAGAAAACCTGTGTTCAGTTCCCAGAATGTACATGGTGACTCACAACCACCTGTAACTCCAATTCCAGGGGATTTGGTGCCCTCTTCTGGTCTTGGCTGCACTTACATATATGCAGGCAAAACACTCAAACACACAAAAAAACAAATTTAAAAATTTTTAAAGGATAAATAAAACAGACAAAACAGCCAGTTGGTAACTGTCCCCTCACCCCCGCCCATCACGCTGTTGTCTCCTCCAATACTGTCACCTCTTCTCACATCTCCAAGCCCTGTTTAATTCTGAAAAGGAATTGGGCCAACTCTAATTTGGTTATTGTCTCTGACTCTGATTTGGCATGGTAAAGGAATTACCTGTTTTTACTTATTTCATGAGAAAAGAGCTCCAGACCAGAATGATTGGCTTCTATGACTCTGAAGTAGTAACATCTTTTTAGTTGAACTATTGTCCATTTAAAAAAAAAAAAAAAAAAAATTCACAAGACTAGGAAGTAAAAAAAGCAGGTATTTTTATTCAACTATTAACAGCAAAAACTATGTACACATTTCATAGGCCATTATGTATAGCAATAACTATTACATAAAATACTGCTTTATTACTATGTTCATAATATACATTTCATTTGTAACTGAAAAGGACTTTGTCAGTCTGTGTCTCTAAACCAGAATGGCAATCTTGGATTTGGTTTTCTTGCCAGGCAGCAGTTCTTCCCTCATCACCTTCATGTAAAAGATTCTAGAATCTAATTCAAACTATTTTCAAAACTACCCATAGTAAACACTCATACCTTTTTTAAAGGCCACAATACATTTTCTTTTTTAAAAAAAAAAATTATTATTTTTATTTTATGTGTATGAATGTAATGCGTGCATGTAGGTGGGTGTACTTGTGTCATGCAATGCCTGTAGAGGTCAGAAGAGGATATTGGATACCCTGGAACTGGAGTTACAGATGGCTGTTAGCCACCACATGAATGGTGGAAATCGAACCCAGGTCCTCTGCAAGAGCAGCCAGTGCTCTTTACTGCTGAGCCATCTCTCCAGTTCCAATGTGTTACTTCTTCATGTTTTTTGTTTTTTTTGTTTTTTGTTTTTTTCGTCTTTTTGAGGCAGGTTCTCCCTGTAGCCCCAGCTGGCCTAGAACTCATTATGTAGGCCAGAATGGCCTTGAACTCAGCCTACCTCTGCCTCCCAAGTGCTGGGATTAAAGGTATGTGCCACCATGCCTGGCCTTAGGTTACTTCTTAAAGCGTGTCATTCAAACAGGAGCCCATGCTCATGAGACTAATTTCAAGCTAGTTTTTTTTTTTTTTTCAAAAACCCTATTATTCATTTACATCTATGGTGTTGCAATAACAATATTTACTTAATTATAGAGGAAGAATTTACCCTTTGTATGGATGCTGCTGATTTTTTTAATGTCTATATTGTTATAATTTAACAAATAATCTCTGGTGAGGTTGGGCATGGGGACACACACCTGTAATCCCAGCACTTGAAAAGCAGGAGGATCGTGAGTTTGAGGGCACTTGGGGCTACATAGTGAGTTCCAGGCCAGCCTGGACCACAAAAAGAAAAAGGTCCAAGTTAACATATCTGTATATGTATCTGTGCACACATGCACACACACGTAAGACGGTCCATTTACTCTTCATCTTTACACTACTGTAGAGATGTTTTCAAATATTGAGTAAAATCTAGGGATGTCTCAGTAGCAACCTCACTGCAGTATTTTTTGATTAGTTGATTTAAATCTTCATTCAAAAATGAGTCCCCTTGTAAAACTTTATCCTGAAAAAAGATTTAAATTATTAGTTGAGAACTACTCAAACTTCTGTAAGTAAAAATCAAGCTGTGAGCAAAGATAAAGAGAGCAAAAGCAAACACAACCTATAAAATACAATGTAAGAAATGTTCAGTCAGGTCTTGGGACGTGGAATGAAACAGTGGCACTGACCACCTCTACCGAAATCCTGCCCCAAGCATTCATCCTACTATCAACTCAATCATGAATAAAACGTCCAAGCAAAGAGCCAGGCCTGGAGGTTACCCCCGCAATCTCAATACATGGGAGGCTGAAGGAGGAAGATCAAGGTCAGCCTGGGTTACAAAGCAATACCCTGTCTCAAAAAACAAACAGAAAAAAAAAGAAAATTGGTTGGGGCTGGAGAGATGGCTCAGGGGTTAAGAGTACACTAGGTGCTCTTGCAGAGGACCCAGGTTCAATACCCAGCACCCAAGTGGTAGCTAACAACTGTCCTTAACTCCAGGTTCCATGGGATCTAATGCCCTCTTCTGACCTCAACGGGCATTGTACAACTTACATATATGCAGGCAATACACTCATATACATAAAATAAAAATAAATAAAATATATTGAAAAGAAAATTGGCAGAGCTGTTGATATACATTCTTTATTTTAAAAATGCATTGCCTACCTTCTTTTTGGAGTTTGAAGGCTCAACAGGAGGATTGAATGTCATTGTTGCCATGCTGTAGTTCTCAAAAAGTTCCACTGCAGACCTATAATCAAAAGAAAAAAAGGCAGATACTACCATATCTGTATAGCTTAAAAACTAGATTGTACACTGAGAATAAAACTATTCAGCTGCCAGGTAAGGCAGAGGCAGGTAGATCTCTGTGAATTTGAGGTCAGCTTGGTCTATATAATGAGTTCCAGGCCAGGTGGGGCTACAGGGAGACCCTGTCTCAAAAAGACAACCCCCTCCCCCCCCAAAAAAATTTGGCCAACTTAAAATACAGCCTACAATCCTCTGTAGTGTCAACATTATCCTGCTAAAGTGATCTCAGAGAAATCTTTTATACATCCAGACATGTGGGCCTATTGTTTAGGAACAGAGCTAAGCAGATGTCCAGCTTGGTGTGATTAAAATCCCAACCCACCAGTGGTATTTTACTAATGATAAGAAACTGAAGGAGAGTGCCACTCAGACCCCCCGCCCCCCCTGTCCTCTGAGAAAAAGCTACCTTCCTCCTGACTCTGCAAATCCCCTAGATTGTTCAAACCCTTTCCTGGTACATCTGTTTATGGATTCTGTGGAAATGGTCCAGGGCAGAAGAGGAAGAACGTTCTGCTCCAAGTAAGCTAGCCAATGGCTGTATAGGTTAAGGCTCTGGAAATCAGCCCTAGATTGTTCAAACCCTTTCCTGGTACATCTGTTTATGGTTTCTATAGAAATC